TGAAGATGAGTATTTCTGAATCGATTTGGGTTGCAGAACTGCTCTGACAAGTGTTTAATTTGAAACAACACAATAAAATGTTTGACTTGCAATTAAGCTTATAAAATGTCGAGTGACAATAAATGTAATATGATGTCTTTTCTCAAAGGTTTTGGAGTTGAAATCAGCCAAAGTGGGTGTTTTCAGTTGCTTTGGGTTTTTCAATTGACAAAAACAATCAGTGCAAACCGTTTAACTCCATTTGTACAAAGTTTAATAATTAAGAACGCACTTAATGTATAAATGTTTATATTTTAGTAACTCTTTCATGTAACTCACTAACCAATATTAAAAGTATTTCAAAATGGTTACTCCAAACGTTCAATATCTAATAATTAAACACATTTAAAATGAGATAATAGTTAATTTGACCGAAGTCTATTTTAATCACAACAAAATAATGAAATTCTGTCAAAAAACTTCCCAACAAAATAATGTCTAAAATATCTCAACGAAACTCTTGAAAATGCAGTTTAATATTAAAGACATTAAAAAAATATTCTTTCCGAGTTTTATTTGCCATTTTTCACCAAAAAAAGAAGTCATAAACGATGAGTTTCAAGCGAACACAACTTTAAATAGCATTTTTACAATTAAAGGAATATAACTTAAGTTGTACAAGATGTTAAAAGCGGAAAAAACAGTCAACACTATTTTAATTCAAGCAGAAACACTTTTGTCAAACCATTTTGATTCAAATAAGTCAAATTCTGAAAAAACAAAAATGTGAACGTGATTTTGGAATAGTTTTCTTTGTGACTTGAAGAAACTATGTTGTAATAATTAAGATGATAAAGCAAAGGAATGAAATTTCTAAAACAAATAGTGAGTTTGAAAATAAAGTGTTGATGTTAGACAAATTCAGTTGTGATAATATCGTTCATTTCTATGGTGCAGTATTTACCAAAATAGATTTGTGTGATGACTGAATGTGTTCCGTGTGGTTATTTAAGTGATTTAAAGAAGAAGAAAAAACGACAGGAGTTGATATGAAAATGCGATTACTATTTTATTGCTGCAAAAGAAATACAATATTGCATACAAATGGGATATTACATAGAGATATCAAGCCATATAACATTCTTATTGTGTCACTCGACAACAACAGTGCAGTAATTAACAAACCGACTGACATTGTATCTTCAAGTATCATTAACATGTTGATGACTAATATGACATTCAGTTAAGCCATGTTCCAGTTTACATGGCTACTGAAATACCTTACAAAAAAATATAAAAGGCTGGCTGATGTTTTTTCGTTCGTAATGACAGTCGATGAGTGTTTGAGCTGTTGTAACGCATATTTTATTTCAGAGTCTAAGTTCCCATGCAGTATTGCAGAGTTTGTAATTATAAAAAGTGTCTGTCCATAACCGTTGAAATGAAAACTGAAATATTTGAGTTAACAAAGATTATGTGGCTTCAAGATTTCAAATGTGACAATGGAAGATACATTGATAGACCAAATCAATTGTTTGTGTCTTTTTAACAGATTTTAATATTTGAATTGTTTTATTGTAAATGAAACTATAAAGTTACTATAACACTATTTATAATATTTTATAATTCTTTTTATTATTATTTATTGTTAAAATTAATTTATTAAAATTATTAAAAATAAACAATTTTTTAAAGCGGTAATTTATAAACAAAAGACGAGGAATTTATTGAACAAATTTCTTGTGTGTAACAAAGCATTGTAATGATTTAATGAGCATAATAATAATAAAACATACAGGACAGCTTTTCGGAACCTTTAACCCAACCTATCCCATGGCAGTGCTTGAGCTGCATCTCAAACATTTGCCAGTCTTCAGTTGAATTCATTTCGTCTAAGCCCCCTAGACTTATTCTAGTTTCGGATTCATCTGCATATGAATCTCAGACCTTTCCTAAGTCTTAGGAAGTATATTCTTAAAGTTTATATTATCCAATGTTTTTATTGCACATTTGATTTTTTGTCAATTTTCCTCGTCTGAACATTCACTCTGAGTCGGATGAATAAGAATCAGAACTGCCACATCTCTTAGTCTTTTTATGTTTCTGTTTTTTAATTTTAAATACAATACCTCTTTTTCGTATCATTGGAGGCGACTTGTGTCCCTCTAGATTTTTCAATTTTATTTCATTAAATATCCTTTTCATATTTTGTTCTTCAATCAATGTAGCCATCAATTTTTTTACGCCTTCTCTGGTGGTTTCTTCAACTTTAATTTTTTCTTTCTTTGGTTTTTCGTCATGAACCCAATTAATTACTTCAGGGATTGGGTTCAATTCTTTAAGGTATTTATAAACCAACGGCTTTGGTTTTTTTGCTTCAGGGGGATGTGTTTCTGGTACACCCACACAAATGTAATATAAAAGGCATATTGCCCGAGCTATAATTTCATGATAAGCATCGACAAATATGTATCTCATTGAATAAATC